GTTGATTCATTTGCAAATATTTTCTCCCATTCTGAGGGTTGTCTTTTTGTCTTGTTTATGGTTTCCTTGGCTGTGCAAAAGCTTTGAAGTTTCATTAGGTCCCATTTGTTTACTTTTGTTTTTATTTCCATTACTCTAGGAGGTGGATCAAAAAAGATCTTGCTGTGATTTATGTCAAAGAGTGTTCTTCCTATGTTTTCCTCTAACAGTTTTATAGTGTCCGGTCTTACATTTAGGTCTCTAATCCATTTTGAGTTTATTTTTGTGTATGGTGTTAGGGAGTATTCTAATTCTTTTTACATGTTACTGTCAGTTTCCTTTTTTACAGCTGTTAACATTTGCCTTATGTATTGAGGTGCTCCTATGTTGGGTGCATATATATTTATAATTGTTACATCTTCTTCTTGGATTGATCCCTTGATCATTATGTAGTGTCCTTCTTTGCCTCCTGTAATATTTTTTATTTTAAAGTCTATTTTATCTGATATGAGTATTGTTACTCCAGCCTTCTTTTGATTTCCATTTGCATGGAATATCTTTTTCCATCCTCACTTTCAGTCTGTATGTGTCCCTAGGTCTGAAGTGGGTCTCTTGTAGACAGCATATATATGGGTCTTGTTTTTGTATCCATTCAGCGAGCCTGTGTCTTTTGGTTGGAGCATTTAATCCACTCACATTTAAGGTAATTATCAATATGTATGTTCCTATTACCATTTCCTTAATTGTTTTGGGTTCGTTTATGTAGGTCCTTTTCTTCTCTTGTGTTTCCCACTTAGAGAAGTTCCTTTAGCGTTTGTTGTAGAGCTGGTTTGGTGGTGGTGAATCCTCTTAGCTTTTGCTTGTCTGTAAAGCTTTTGATTTCTCCATCAAATTTGAATGAGATCCTTGCTGGATAGAGTAATCTTGGTTGTAGTTTCTTCCCTTTCATCACTTTAAATATATTGTGCCACTCCCTTCTAGCTTGTGGAGTTTCTGCTGAGAAATCAGCTATTGACCTTATGGGAGTTCTCTTGTATGTTTTTTGTCATTTTTCCCTTGTTGCTTTTAATAATTTGTCTTTAATTTTTGTCAGTTTGATTACTATGTGTCTTGGCATGTTTCTCCTTGGGTTTATCCTGCCTGGGACTCTCTGTGCTTCCTGGACTTAGGTGGCTATTTCCTTTCCCATGTTAGGGAAGTTTTTTACTATAATCTCTTCAAATATTTTCTTGGGTCCTTTTTCTCTCTCTTCTCCTCTGGCACCCCTATAATGCGAATGTTGTTGTGTTTAATGTTGTCCCAGAGGTCTCTTTGGCTGTCTTCATTTCTTTTCATTCTTTTTTCTTTATTCTGTTGCATGGCAGTGAATTCCACCCTTCTTTCAGGTCGCTTATCTATTCTTCTGCCTCAGTTATTCTGCTATTGATTCCTTCTAGTGTATTTTTCATTTCAGTTATTGTATTGTTCATCTCTGTTTGTTCTTTCATTCTTCTAGTTCTTTGTTAAACATTTCTTGCATCTTCTCGATCTTTGCCTCCATTCTTTTTCCGAGGTCCTGGATCATCTTCACTATCATTATTCTGGATTCTTTTCCCGGAAGGTTGCCTATCTCCACTTCATTTAGTTGCTTTTCTGGGGTTTTATCTTGTTCATTCATCTGTTACATAGTCCTCTGCCTTTTCATTTTGCCGGTCTTTCTGTGAATATGGTTTTTCATTCCACAGGCTGCAGGATTGTAGTTCTTCCTGCTTCTGCTGTCTGCCCTCTGGTGGATGAGGCTATCTACGAAGCGTTTTGTCTTTGTTATTTGTTTTTGTTTTATTATTGTGACCCTTTAAGCTTTATATCAACAATCCAGATGAGGGTAAAAAAACTACACAACCACTCTCCCACGTCATGCACATCCAGAGCTAAAGATGAAATTGTCATTTTTCACTTGGTTCTCATGAAAGACTAACATCCTACTACTTTCACCGCAGGCCTCTTGCTCTCACTTTTTTCTCACCCCCTGAAAAGACTGTCAACATTTAGCTTTGCTTTCTTCCACCTCACTCTTTAACTCAAGTGCCCTCTGGTGTTATTCTTGATTTTAGCAACTAAAGTCATTGGCCTCCGAGTCCTGTTTAAATGTGCTTCACGGTGGTAGTTTTATCATCATGTTTCTCTTAAGTAGCACCTAGCACTAAGCTGTAACTATAAGACTTTGTGGGGGAAAAAAAGAAATTAAAAATTAGAATGTCTAGGTGCCAAATTCTGCAAGCTACTTGATTAGTATGCCAAGTAATAACTTTTTTCAGTGCCTCACTTTCTCCAGTCATGGACTTGGAGATTGTTAGCTCAGAAACTCACTTTACAGAGCATGTAAGACAACGTCCTCATCTGAAAGACAAAGAAATCAAGACTCAGAGAAATTAAGAGACTTGCCAAGGTGACATAATGAGGGTTAGCCCCTAGATCTTTCACCACCATATGATGAAAAGAGTTAAAATTTTCTAAGTACTTATCATGAGGCCTATTACAGGCTTTATCTTATGAGCCCCACAGCATTGTTTTGAAGTAGATACTATCGGTATACCTATTTTACAGACAGAGAAATAGAAGTTTGAGAGAGCGAGTGTGGAAATGGGTGTACTCCATGTCACACAAATACAGATTTTTCAACCAGGCAGCATGATTCCAGAAACCGTGCTTGAAGTCACAACTGATCTTAGTGCCTTTATAGAAATTGTATACATAGATGCAGATACAGAGGTATATAGATGAATATGTGTGTACTTATGGATATATGATATATCAATAAGCAAAATACAGAATTATTTTGAATATCTTAAAATTTTAAATAAATAGCATCATATTTTAGAATGAAAAAAAAGGAGGGAGAGAAACAAGTGAAGGGGAAACCTATGGATTGAAATGGCTTTGAAAGACATAGTTTTTTTTTTAACGAGTGACTCTAAACTATAGTGTCTAAGAACATTTGCACTTGGGTGCCAACAAGGTGGTGGTTACTGTGGGATGGGACACTGATGGACCTGTTGAGGTGGCTACAAAATTCTGCTTCTTAATTTGGACGGTGGGTACATGGGTCTTTGCCTTATAACTGCTCATTGAACTCATTAAGCAATACCAGAAAAAAAAAAAAAAAGCATCATAGATTTATCTACCTGGGGTGTATAGAGGAAAGAGGCACCTAACATTCATGCCATCCTCTTTCAAGTGTACCTTTCTGTACTAAGGAGACATAGAAACTAAAAACTACATTTCTCAGACTCCTTCCCAGCCAGAGTCCTGGATGTGATTTAGCTTCTGTCAATCCAATCCGGCAGGATTGGAGCACAATGCCAGGCTTCTGTTGCTCCCGCTGGCAAGCCCAGTTGCGAAGACAGTTGGTTTTTCTGCAGCAGCATTAGCAGAGGTTCTGGGCTCTGTTCACTGGCCTTGAGGTGTTGAGAGCAGGGCCTGTGGCCTGTGGCATCCATTTGCGTGGACCACAGCCTGCACAGTCTGGTTCTAAGAGCCCACAGTACCAGCTGTAGCTTCTGATTGCGGTGACTTCCTGAGTATGGTAGTTTCCTGTTCTTGGTGGCTTTCAAACTGTGGCTGTAGTGATATGATAATTGAATCAGCAGCTTTCTGTTGCTAGAAGCAACCTTTCTGTCTTAGTGCCTTATGCAGGCTTTGGACAACTTCACGGGGTGAAGCAAACACATACTGAAGTCCAGGGCCTGGTAAGCTCCCTGCTCTTTGGGTAGAGGTCCTGAGGGACTGCACCCTAGGGGCAAAGGTCAGCTACAGGTAACTAGTCCTCAAACAGACTGCGGTCCCCCTTCAAAGCTTCTGCACAGCCAAAAGTATCTAACTCCTGCAGTGTAACGGAAGTGATTCTTGATTGATAGTTACCAAGTGCCTGATACAAGCAAATGGAAGTTATTTCTGCAGGAAAGAATTATCATCTTAGACTTCTAATTCTTTCAACAGCAATTTTAAAAATGCAATACCCAGCACACAGACAAACAAAGCAAGCATATGAGGAGATTAGACAGCAAGAATGAGAAATATACAGTAGAAGCAGAAAAGCACAGAGAAGGTCTAGACCAGTGCTCTAGAAGAACTATAATGGAAACCACAAATGTGAGTCACATTTTTAAAAATTTATTTATTCATGTATTTTATTTTGGGCTGCATTGGATCTTCGTTGCTGCGTGCAGGCTTTCTCTAGTTGCGGTGAGCAGGGACTACTCATTGAGGTGCGTGGTCTTCTTACTGCAGTGGCTTCTCTTGTTGTGGAGCACAGGCTCTAGGCACGTGGGCTTCAGTAGCTGTGGCACACGGGCTCAGTAGTTGTGTCTCCCGGGCTCCAGAGCACAGGCTCAGTAGTTGTGGCACACGGGCTTAGTTGTTCCATGGCATGTGGGATCTTCCCAGACCAGGGCTCGAACCCATGTCCCCTGTATTGGCAGGCTGATTCTTAACCACTGCACCACCAAGGAAGTCCCATGAGTCACATTTTAATTTTAAAATTTTCTAGTAACCACAGTGAAAAAGTAAAAAGAAACCAGTGAAACTAATTTTTTTAATATTTTAACTCAGAATATTTTAGTTCAAGTTTTTACTTAACCTAAATTATTATTTCAACATGTAATCAGTATAAAATTCATAATGGGATATTTGACATTTTTTATACTAAATCTTCGAAATCTGGTGTGCATATTACACTTACGGTGCATCTCAGTTCAGACTAGGCGTATTTCAAGTGCCCAAGGAGCCAAATGTGGCTAGTAACTCCCAGGTTAGATCTTACAGCTTTAGATTTTAGAATTATCAGGCAGGAATTTTAAATTAACTATACTTAGTATGTTTAAGGAGCTAAAAAAAAGATGGAAAATTTCAGTAGAGAACTAGAAATTATACTTGATACGTGGAATAATACTTGGATACTTGATATGTGGAATAATCTATAAATGTAAAATTGAATAACTAAAATTAAGAATTCAATAAATGTGTCTAATAGCAGGTCACACATGCCTGAAGAGAGAATTGGTCAACTAGAAGGTAAATCAAAAGAAATTATCTGGAATCAGGTACAGAAAGTCCAAAGGGTGGAAAAATACGGAAGAAAGAGTAGGAGACATAGCAGACACAGTGAGTTTTACCCCACATTTCACTTGAATCCTAAAGGGAGAGGTAAAATAAAACGGAGAAGTCATATTTGAAGACATAATGGCAGATAATTTTTCAAAACTGACTAGAAGTCTGTTGTCAATTGGATTGTCTTTTCATTAAAGACAATCTATATTTTATCAATAGTTGCTTTTAAATCCCCTCCTCTACTATGTGCCTTGGAAGTTCTGGATTTTCTCTTTCATGCGATGTGGGCCAGGTAACACATTTAGCAGCATCTCCCCAGGCCTCGCTGACTCCTGTGCCGTGTAACTGTAAACTCCCTCCTCCAGCTTTGGGTTCTGTGCTCATCCACCCCCGCTGTGATCCTGCTTCCTCGGGAGCAGCCCCACACATTCTCCATCTCCCCGCAGGACACTGAGCTAGATTCTGACAATTCTCTGTCTCTAGGCTTTTCCCGCATCACAGCCTGGCACGTCTCTGGAAAGATTACGTGCTGACTGATGCTGGGTACTGACCTGGTGGACAAGGGGACATATCCAGGATGTGTGATTTCTGCCAGGCGGGGGCCTTCTCCTTCTCCTCAAGGAAGGGAGGGGCACTGCCTATATGGTGAGGGGGAGGGACCAGCGGGGCAGTCCTTGCTCTGCCAGCCCAGGCCTACAGGTTTACTTTGCTGTCCCATAACTGCGGTAAGGGGGGTATATGGGTCCTTCTCTCCCACCCCCAACCTCACCTGTGTTTTGCCTTCACAGACGTTCACTCTCTTTGCTACAACTTCACCGTCCATCCTAAGCCCAGACCTGGACAACCATGGTGTGTGGTTCAAGGCCAGGTGGATGGAAAGGTTTTTCTCTCCTATGATTGTGGTGGTGCTAAGATCCAATCCATGAGTCCCCTGGGTGAAGAGGTGAAAGCCACAAAGGCCTGAACAAGGGCAGATGGAAACATTCAAAGACGTCGGGGACTTGCCCAAGGAGCAGCTGCCTGATGTTACCCCGGAGAAACACACGGCCAGGGGTGAGTTAGAAAGTCCAAGTGCAGGAGGAACAGACTGGGGACTTAGCTGCATTCATTGTTTTTGAGTAAAAAATAAAATAAAGTTGGACATTGGTCCTTCCCTAGTAGTCCAGTGGAAAGAGCAGGCGTTGGAGGAGAGAACAGGGCCAGATTAGCTGGGCCCAGGGGAGATGGACACAGGGGGGGGCAAAAAATTTGTCAAGCCCAGGGGCTGAGCTCTTTCCCACGTTGGGGGCAGACCCTGTCACCCCACAGGGCAGGATGACATGGGGTGTGAAGACGATGGAGGCACCAGTGGATCCTGACAGTTTGGCTTCAATGGATGGATGTGGTTCCTCTTTGATTCAGAGAATGGACAGCGGACAGTGGTTCATTCTGGAAGCAGACAGATGAAAGAGAAGTGGGAGAATGACACAGCTGTGACCAAGTTCTTCAAGAAGACCTCCATGGGAGACTGTAGGGCCTGGCTTCAGGATTTCTTGGTGCACTGGGAGAAAATGTTGAAGACAACGGGTAAGTGAGAAGAGGAGGAAGTGGCAGTCCTCTCAAGGTGGCATGGACCCACCCCTGTGTGTGTGTGTGTTTGTGTTTGGGAAAGTGATCCATCCAAGGTGGGTTCTTCCTGGGAGAACAATGGCCCTGGGCATGTTCTGCCACCCTCCCTTCCCCTTCCCACCTCCTGACACCTGCCTCAGTGCACAGGTCTTGGGACCATTTAACATGGATTCTTGCTGACCCCAAACATGAGGGCATCATTCTGATGTCAGAGATTTATTTCTGACTGTTTCCTCTTTCCAGAATCTTTTTTTAAATCTCACCTATTCCACTTCTGGAAATCTGTCAATACCACCTCAAACATCAGCTCGTGAGAGGACTTCTCTGTTCCCATCCTCACGTGTCACCTCCTCTTCTGTCACAGTAGGAGTGAGTGGCTATATTGGAACCCTTGCTCCCCCATTAGCTGTCTGAGCCCCGTGGGGACATGGCTCACCCCCTCCCCCCATGTCTCCTCAGGACCTGTCATGGGGACGCCACATGGTGGATGAGAACCGTGTGCATAGTAGGGGAACCTGGGCCGGGGGGCTAAGGAGGGATCTCCTCAGTTTGGGGTCTGGACAAGGGCTTTCATTCTTCCTTTCCTTGCAGCATCACCAACCACGGACCCCCCAAAGCCCAGTCCAGGGCCACAGCCATCAAGCCCATCACTTGGGTCCTCCCCGTGGTCCTCTCCTGGTCCGTCATAACTGGCATCCTGGGTGGAGTCCTCTATAAGAACAGGTACTGAGGGAGGAATTCAGAGGGAAGGAAGGGGCGCATGGCCTGGTGGGAGGATGGGAGAAGGTGAATCCCAGCCCAACCCCTGCCCCTCACTGAAGCTTCTCACCCTGGAAATGAAGCCAGGTGAACAAGACCTCATATCGCTCAAGAGCAATAACTTGCACAAGCCCAGCCCTGAGTTCTGATAGCCCCGCCCTGTCAGATGACAGAAAGGGGAGGGCCCCCACAAAGGCTTAGGGCCTGTTGCTGATAAAGGAGTCTAGCAAAGTCTGCCTGACTCAACACAGACACCTGTTTGGCAGGGCCCGGTTGTAGGTGGTGAGGGGACAGCAGGTACACACAGTGTGGGCAGGACTCACACTGGGTGGGAGCAGGACGGCGGCTGCACGTGATGCGTCAAAGCTAAGGGGACACATCCAGGGGGCTAAGAGGAGAGGGTCCGGGGTCTCATCCCAGGAGGAAGGGGTGGGGAGACCTTTGCAGACCCAACTCCAAAGGTCTGTTCTCGCAGGAAGTCACTTGGGTCACAGCAGGCAAGACACAAAGCCAACAGTAGAGACTGTGCAGGACAGAATTAGGAGGGGCCGGTGCTCCTTGGAACAGCAGGGATTCTGGCTCAGCCTGTTGCTCGCACTTGGCCCCAACCTCCTGCGCACCCCAGAGCCCCAGTCACTGAGCGGCCCCTGCCTTGAGCAGAGGTGACTCGTGGGATGGGTGGGACTGAGCCGCGGTGGACGCTCCAGCTAGGCTGGACCAGGAAGAGATGGAGTGCAGGCGGGACCCTCGTCCTGAGAGCTGTGTTGTGTGCTGGTGCCTAAGAGGCCTGGAGAGGAGGGAAAAGAAGGAGGTTTGCCTGCAGCCCTCCCCAAGGCCATGAGGATGCAAGACCTCTCCTCCATGGGAACTGCCACTGGGTCCTTTAGGCCCTCCTTCAGGGAGGATAAGGACCTGAGTAAAGGGAGCAGATTGAGTCCTCACTGGCTTCAGTCTTGAGCCTAAGTGGGTGGTAGCAGGGCCTGGGGCTGACTCTGTGATGCAGGAAAGGAAGGAAGAGGTGAGAACAAGCTGCCGGACCCAGGGTGGAGGTGGGGGGCAGAGGGCAAGGCTGGAGGTGGGGAGGGACTGGGGAGGGGCAGCCCCAGGAAGGTGACGGGATTGCCTCCGCCCTGTGGACCAACACCTGTTTCTTTTCTGAAGGCTGACGGTGATCCCATGAAGCCTTCAGACAGGTGCTCTGTCTCCCTCAGGGACTTGGCCTTTGCTTGGCCACCTTTGATGTCCTGCTGTTCCTGCTTTAGACCCCAGGAGATCAGACCCTATGAATCCCAAGTCTGCCATCCCATTCCGATGACACGGTAGAAGCACCATCTCGTGGCCTTTATCACATTTGGTGAACATCTTACCCAGCATCTTTTTTTTTCAAACATATTTTGCCACTTTCTCTTGGTGCTAAGTGATGGAATCCCTGCACTGAAACGTTCAACTGCTTGAACAAGAAATCTCCACAAACAGGACACTTTCCATCTTCTTCCAGTCTGTGAAAAATCAGACACTTGTCTGCATTGTGACCTCGTTCTTGCAAATGATGATATTGCAGGACCTCAGGGGTTCATTCTATGTCCAGAGAAACAGCCTCAGTGTATTATCGGCAGAGTGAAGTGAGTCAGAAAGAGAAAAATAAATGCCGTATATTAACGCATATATGTGAAATCTAGAAAAATGGTACAGATGAACCTATTTGCAGGGCAGGAATAGAAATGCAGAGGTAGAGAACGGACGTGGGGACACAGGGGGGAAGGGGAGGGTGGGATGAATCGGGAGATTGGGATTGACATCCAGTACCATGTGTAAAATAGATAGCTAGTGGGAACCTGCTGTATAGCACAGGGAGCTCAGCTCGGTGCTCTGTGATGACCTAGAGGGGTGGGATGGCGGGGTGGGGGGGGGGGGGGGGGTCCAGGAGGGAAGGGACATATGTAGACATATAGCTGATTCACTTCATTGTACAGCACAAACTGACACAGCATTGTAAAGCAATTTATACTCGAATCAAAAAAAAGAACAAAATTTTATTTATAACTGTTTCCCTTAGTAATTTATTACACTATACTGATATTTAAATCAATATCTCTATATTGCAAAAAACTTAATTCCTTCAGATTTCTGTTTTATAATCCAGGAGAGAATTCATGGCATTTCACCATTCTCCGCGTTATAGGATTAAATATAACTGGTGATTCTGCTACATTTCTTGTGGAAACAGAGAATGTAAGGATTGCTCTTAAAGTGACATGCAGTCCAGCTGTCTGTCTCAAACATTATCCACATAACCTGGATGCAAATGTATATTCTGGAATTTAAACAATGAGATTTTTTTCGATTTTGCCTAGATCCCCGTCTCCCTCAGCGGTGACTCTCCTGTGATTCCTCCACCTCGACCTCCCTTTCTCCAGGGAGAAGTCAGCCTTCACAGCACAAACACATCTACTTTGAAAAGTTGTTTTATTTCCCCATGGGTAGAGGATCATATTCAGAATAAATAATGAACTCCTACAAATAAATAAGAATAAGTTAAATTCTCCTAAGTTTTGGGCAAATGCTTGAGTAGTTCACAGGTGGTGAGTGAGCCTGTGAAGAGATTGAACATATTCCAAATAACCAACATGACAAAAAAAACAAACCACTGGGATACCCTTACACATTCATATAATTGAGAGCATTTAATTAATTTATTTATTTATTTTAACATCTTTATTGGAGTACAATTGCTTTACAATGGTGTGTTAGTTTCTTCTTTATAACAAAGTGAACCAGTTATACATATATCCCCATATCCCCTCCCTCTTTCGGCTCCCTCCCACCCTCCCTATCCCACCCCTCTAGGTGGTCACAAAGCACCGAGCTGATCTCCCTGTGCTATGCGGCTGCTTCCCACTAGCTATCTGTTTTACATTTGGTAGTGGATATATGTCCATACCACTCTCTCACTTCGTCCCAGTTTACCCTTCCCCCTCCTCATGTCCTCAAGTCCATTCTCTATGTCTGCAGATTGACATCAGCCCTTGCTGCTTCACTCTGCACTTTTACATGATGGAGAGGGCTTCGTTCCCTAAACTTCATGAACCAACCTCTACCAGCTTCAAACTTTTCTTCTGCAGCTTCCTCTCCTCCCTCAGCCTTCATAGAATTGAGGAGAGTTAGGGCTTCGTTCCGGATTAGACTTTGGCTTAAGGCAATGTTGTGGCTCGCTTGATCTTCTCTTCAGACCAGTAAAACTTTTCTCGGTACCAGTAATAAGGCTGTTTTGCTTTCTTATCATTTGTGTGGTCACTGGAGTAGCACTTTTGATTTGCTTTAAGAACTTTTCCTTTGCATTCACAACTTGACTGTTTGGCACAAGAGGCCTAGCTTCTGGCCGTCTTGGCTTTCGACATGCCTTCTTCAAAAGCTTAACCATTTCTAGCTTTGGATTTAAAGTGAGAGACACATGATTCTTCCTTTCACTGGGCCACTGAGAGGCTACTGTAAGGTTATTAATTGGCCAAATTTCAATATTGTTTTGTCTCAGGGACTCAGGAGGTCCGAGGAGAGGGAGAGAGATGAGGGAAGGGAAGATCAGCGGAGCAGTAAGAACACACCCAACATATAACGCTTAAGTGTGCCATCTGATATGGGCACAGTTCCTGGTGCCCCAAAACAACTACAGTGGTAACATCAAAGATCATCGATCACACAAAAGCAAGATCAAGATGGCCAAATAGGAAGCCCTGAGCTCCCCTTTCCCATGAACACACCTCAAGTACAACTACATACAGAGCAACTCTCTCTCTCTATGAAGATTCTAATGCTAATGTCTTCCAGAAACACCCTCCCAGACAAACCCAGAAATCATGTTTTACCAGCTCTAAGGGTATCCCTTAGCTTAGTCAAGTTGACATATAAAATTAACCAAGACAAAGGTTTCATACTGCTTGAAAACAGTTACTTAGGCAAGCTCAGCTTTGAGTTCTGATAACTCCTCAAAACTGTCAAAAGCCTGTGGGAAAGGACAGAAGCCCACACCAAGGTTTATGGCCTGTTGATGCTTAAAGGGATTTTGCAAAATCAGGCCTGAGGCAAGCCAGCTTCTCCCTTTGGGAGAGGCCCATGTTGGGGTGGTGTGGAGACAGCGGAACACAAGGCATGAGCAACAGGCACATTTGGGTGAGAGCCGCACTGCTTACAGCAGCCTAGACATGGAGCAACCTAGTGTCCACTGACAGATGAATGGTGAACGGAAGTGATATATATATTCACATAACAGAATATTATTCCTCCATAAAAGAGAAGGAAACCTTGTCATTTGTGACAACATGGAAGGAACTTGAGGGCATTAGGCCAAGTGAAAGAAACCAGAAAGAGAAAGACACATATCGTATTATCGTGATTATGGAACCAAAAAAAATTTTTTTTAAAAACTCAGAGGGCTTCCCTGGTGGCGCAGTGGTTGAGAGTCCGCCTGCCGATGCAGGGGACACGGGTTCGTACCCTGGTCCGGGAAGATCCCACATGCCGCGGAGCGGCTGGGCCCACAGGCCATGGCCGCTGGGCCTGCGCGTCCGGAGCCTGTGCTCCACAACGGGAGAGGCCGCAACAGTGAGAGGCCCACGTACCGCAAAAAAATTAAATAAATAAATAAATAAAACTCATAGATAGAACATAGTGGTGGTGATTGTCAGAGGTGGGGATTGGGGAGGATGGGAGAAAGGGGTGAAGACAGTAAAAAGTACAGACTTCCAGCTATAAAATAAATAAGACCTGTGGATGTAATGTACAGCATGGTGAGTATAGTTAATCAGACTGTACAGTTGACCCCTGAACAACACAGGTTTGAACTTTGTGAGACCACTTTATTTTTTATTTATTATTTTTTAAAATTATTTTTTAACATCTTTATTGGAGTATAATTGCTTTACAATGGTGTGTTAGTTTCTGCTTTATAACAAAGTGAATCAGTTATACATATACATATGTTCCCATATCTCTTCCCTCTTGCGTCTCCCTCCCTCCCACCCTCCCTACCCCACCCCTCTAGGTGGTCACAAGCCACCGAGCTGACCTCCCTGTGCTATGCGGCTGCTTCCCACTAGCTATCTAGTTTACATTTGGTAGTGTATATATGTCCATGCCACTCTCTCACTTTGTCCCAGCTTACCCTTCCCCCTCCCCATATCCTCAAGTCCATGCTCTAGTAGGTCTGTGTCTTTATTCCCGTCTTACCCCTAGGTTCTTCATGACATTTTTTTTCTTAGATTCCATATATATGTATTGGCATACGGTATTTGTTTTTCTCCTTCTGATTTACTTCACTCTGTACTCGGATTGTTTTCAATAAATACAGTACTACTCGATCTGCCGTTGGTTGGGTCCGGGGTTGGTTGAATCCTCCAATGAGGAATCGCGGATACGGAGGGCTGCCTATGGGACCTGAGCACCAGAGAATTTTGGTATCCCAGGTGGGTCCTGGAACCAATCCCCAGTGGATACCGAGGGACAACTGGATTGTATCAATATATTTGAAAATTGCTAAGAGAGTAGATCTCAGAAGTTTTCACCAAAGGGAAAAAAATTTTAACTACGTGTGGTGATGGTTGTTACCTAAACGGTTATGGTTTTCATTTCACAGTATATACAAATATCAAAATATTACATAACATGGAGGAAGAGTGAAAGCAGAACCACTGATTCTGCTAGATTTCTCATGGAAACAGACAATTTAAGGGAAAGCTAGGTCACCAAAGGGTAGCTTTTGCCCAGACTGGAACTCTGGGATACTCCTCGCAAATTCTCGGTATTTATAGTCTAACTGTCCCTTTGCTGTGGTGGCTTCTCCACATGTTCTTATGACAAGCCACCAGCGGAGCCCCATGGCAGATGAGCTAAAAATGTGCCGATGAACCACAGCCGGTGAGACGACACTCTGACACATCTTACTTCATTCTTGCATCAAACCAATACACAGCGGCAGTGTGAAGTGAGGGGTGCGTGTGTGCTGGGGAAGACCCGTGCGCCTGGGACCCTGGAGGTTCAAGATGAATGTGGGGACCACTGTGGATGACGAGAAGGGAGGGAATGTTGCTAGAGAGAGTGGGTGGTGCCCTGCCCCCTCTGACTTGTCCTGGCCTTGATCACAGACGACCTAGAAGGGCGGTGAGATTCATGGAACCGAAAGCGGGGAGGGGCAGTCGGAAGAATAAGTTAGATGTCCGGTGCCATGCACTTTTATTTATTTATTTTATCTATTTACTTAGCTGGACTTGCAATGAACGCCACCCAAGAACGACTGCCCTGTGGCCGCTGCCAGGTAGGTGGGGAGGAATGTCTGATTAGGAAGCGCGGGAGGAGGGGCGGGGAGTAGTAGAGTAGGCGTGGGGGCGGGGCCAGAGTCCTAGGAAATAGGGTGGAGCCGACCCGGAAGTCAGCTGGCTTCCGTGGGAAACGCGCAGCGCAGTTGTAACCTGTCTTCCCTGAGGTGCTCGTGGAGAGTAATTGGCGAGAAGTAGCTCTCGGTCTCCAGTCCCGGGTCCCCAAATCCCGCCCAGGTTGGCAAGAGGAAAGAAGCTCGTGGTCGCCCCGCATCCCCGTCCCTTCTCGGCGCAGAGACCTCACTCACCCGGCTCCGCGGCCCGGGTCCTCCCACGTCTCCCAGAGGCTGTTTGTTCCCGGCCCCGCGAGCCTCCCCGGAGCGCGGGAGCTCGGCCCGGGCTCCTCTTTGTAGCCGCGGCGGGTCCCGCTCCCCCCGACGCCGCTCGGGACGCAGCCGGCCGAGCTCTGGCCGAGCCGGGTCGGCGGGACGTCGGGGAGACAGACATTCGAGAGAAGACTGAGGGATTCAAACTGAAAACCCCGAGGAGAGAGTTTTCGGAGTCTTCTCTTGTGCTTGCAAACAGCGACAGTCTCAAGCTGGGAAAGCAACGTTGGGTAGACCGGGCAGGCGAGGACCGCGCCCCACCGATCGCAGGCGCTCGGCCCGGGAGACGGGTGAGAAGGGAAGGAGTGCGCGGCGAGTAGACCCCACGGCGGGTCCCCCAAGGGTTCAGTCCTATCCCGCCATCCCCAAGCCACCACCCCTGAGACCGCTGTGTTTAGCCAACTGCGCGGGGGATGGCTGGGGCGAAGAGGGTGGGGTGAGGGGAGAGATGTGCAGGACGAGGGGAACTGCCAGGCAGGAGAGGCTGGGGACTGATGGTTGATAAGAAAGGAATGAAATTCCTACACCCTTGCTCTGAGCTTGTTCCTCCAGTGGCCTTGGAGGAGTTTGCAAGGTGCAAAGAACAGAAGCTAGTGATAACGTCCCAGCTTTTCTTGAGTCTCGGCTCCAACAGGACGGTTGGACTCTATTGCGCATCCGCCTTCGGTGATAGACCAGGTGCGCTCTGCCTGCAGCTAGCTTAACACTGGGGTGCACTTGGTGAGAGTGAATCTTAATCATTAAAGAGAAAGTTGGAGAGGTTAGGATGCAGACTGGAGGTGGGAGAAAATATGGGAAGAGGGAGGGAGAGATGGGAAAGGGAGGCAAAAGAGGCAGCGGGGAGAAGGGGGAGAGGAATTTCGTTGGAAGGTTAGAGGAGAATGTGGTTGGTGGAATGAGGGAAGAGGAGATCATAACCCCCAGCAGTTTTGCTCACGCCACAAAAGGGGTTTTTTTTGGGGGGTGAAGGGGGGAGGTTATTAAAGTGAATTTTTATTTATTTATTTTATTTACTTTTGGCTGCGTTGGGTCGTCTTTGCTGCGCGCGAGCTTTCTCCAGTTACGGCGAGCGGGGGCTACTCCTCGTTGCGGTGCGCAGGCTTCTCATTGCGGTGGCTTCTCTTGTTGCGGAGCACGGGCTCTAGGCGCACGGGCTTCAGTAGTTGTGGCACTGGGGCTTAGTTGCTCTGTGGCATGTGGGATCTTCCCGGACCAGGGCTCGAACCCGTGTCCCCTGCATTGGCAGGCGGATTCTTTTTTCTTTTTTTTTTTTGTGGTACGCGGGCCTCTCACTGTTGTGGCCTCTCCCGTTGTGGAGCACAGGCTCCGGACGCGCAGGCTCAGCGGCCATGGCTCACGGGCCCAGCCGCTCCGCGGCATGTGGGATCTTCCCGGACCGGGGCACAAACCCGTGTCCCCTGCATCAGCAGGCGGACTCTCAACCACTGCGCCACCAGGGAAGCCCTACAGGCCTTCTTTTGCTGATACTGCTGCTGATAGAACCCAGGAAGACTCTGGGCATTGAGCGTCCTGGGATCTGGGGACCTGGCTGGGGAGGGGGAGGATGGGAGGCGGGCAGGAATGGAAAGGGCTCCACAGTGGTAGGCACCTGTCCACAGTGCTCTTAGGATGGTGAGGGTGTGGTTTAGCTGGACTGGCTGCCCCGGAGGTGTGGGGACCCCAGCCTAAGGCAGGGTGCCTGACCTGTGCTTGTGTGGCAGCTCTCCCTCTCCTGCCAAGTCCCACCTCCTACTCCAGGAAGCCTTTCCTGATGACCCAGGACCCATCATGAATGTGGCATGTGTCGTCCTATAGTGTCTTTTTTCCCGTTTTTTGAAAGTCCTGTCTGTTCAGATAGATTTTAAGTCCCTGGAGTACAGACACTGTCTTGTATTTTTGGTACCTCAACAGTTGGTACATGACGCTAAAAAGATTTGTCAGGTAAATCCTCCTATGTGCACCCAAGGGGTCCATGGTGGCCTCAAAGTGTTTAATTAAACCTCAGACAGTTAAAGGTGAGGCAGGACTAAGGACGCGGCAGATGGAGGGGGTCTGGGATGGAGACCCCTCCCTCTACAGCCAGGCCCCTCATGGGGAATCTCTGGGGACACACCTGTGTTTTTCTCTCATGGATGCTCACTCTCTCTGCCTCGACCTCACTGTCAGATCTCAGTCCAGACCTGGACAGCCCTGGTGTGAAGTCCAGGGCTCAGTGGACACAAAGTCTTTCCTCCAGTATGACAGTGACAGAAACAAGGTCAAACCTTTGAGTCTCCTGGCGGGGGAGGTAAATGCCACCAAAGCATAGACAAAATTGAGCCAAATGCTGGGAGAAGTGGGGCGAGAGCTCAGGATGGTCCTGCCTGTCATCACACTGGACAAAAGGGAGACCAGGGGTAGGTATGCAAAGGGGGTGGGTAGCTGGAGACAGTCAGCAAGAGAGGGGAAGGAGCAGAGCACGTGCAGGGAAGGAGCTTCGTGTGAAAGAACGGAACACAGTCCAACCTGAGAGACCTGGTGGACCTGATGGGCAGGAGAGGGCAAGTCATGGACAGAAGAGCACAGGCCTCTAGATGTGCAGAGACACACTTGAGCTACGGGGGAGGACGGATTGTGGACAGTCCAGGATGCTTCTTTGTGTAGGGGCACAGATCCGCCCACGCTGCAGGTCAAGCTGTGTTGTCAGCGCGAAGCAGAGCGATGCACTGGTGCATCCTTGCGCTTCAGAATCAACAGACACACAGCCCTCCTTGACGTGATGAACGTGAACTGGACAGTCATCACTCCTGGAGCCACAGGGGTCAAAGAGGAGTGGGAGAACAGCCAGGAACTGGCCGAGTGTTTTAGGAAGATCTCAGCGGGAGACTGCAGTCACTGGTTTAGAGAATTCCTAGAACACTGGGAGAACATGCTGGAACCAGAGCCCACGGGTAACTGAGCAGGGTGTGGAGGAGATGGTAGCTCTCTTCAAAGGTCTAGTGCCTTCCCTGTGTGGATGTGAGCACATATGTGTGTGCGATTGAAAATATGGTGGATGGATGGAGTGATTGATCTCTTGGTGGACTTCCTGTCTGGAGAATCAGTGACAGGCATAGCATAGGATTTCCCAGCATCCTCCTTTCCTAGCCCACCTCCCTCAGCACAGGAAGGAGCCCCCTTCCCCATTAACCAATGACCCAGTCCTCCGGCACTGGTAGATGGTCCCCAGATCTATATACGTATTGTGCTTTCAGGCCTTCTCTCCTTCCTGTTGTAGGGATCCTTTAACCAGCTCAGATGTCACTTAATGAAGCCCTCACCCCTCCCCAGACAGAATTCAGCACCCCTAGATGTGTCCTCCTCAAAAAGGACTTCCCACAGTAAACAGGGCCACCTGCATGATAATCAGATGGACACTGGCTGTCTCCCTCAGCAGTAATATGTGCTCCGTGAGGACAGGGCACAACCCCTGTTCATCTTTCTACCCCAGTGGTTTCACATAATGGGTCAGTAACTTTGTGGGGGGGGACATGTGCTGTCTGGGGACAGTAGCTGCTGAGGAAGGTGTATTCTTAGGTTTCACACAGCTTTTGCTTTATTGTTTGTTTTAGAACCACCATTAAACGCCCCAAATAATGACCAGTCTGCATCCATCCATTAATTGAATGGATCATCCCATTGATTTTCACCTGCTTCATCCTAATTGGCTTCATCGTCGTGAAACTTATGAAGAAATCAGGGACCACAGCAGGTGAGAATCAGGCTGGCCTCTGGCTCCTGGGCCTGTCATGTTCTGGTAAGGACTTGGGAGAGGTGAGCCACGGGTCTCACCCAAGCGCCTGTCCACTGATCCATCTCTACCTAGAAACGCTGCACTTTCTCAGTCTTGGGCCCCCACACTTCCCAGTAGGGCTGGGGATTACTCTGCTGTTGGGGTAGAAGAGGCTGGTATGGGCAGCAGGACAGTGCAGTGAGGGGAGGGGAAACCAGGCATCCACTTCTGTGGGGGGGAGGGGGCGGGCCAGGTCTAAGATCTCAAAAGGCTGCAGGCGGGGTGGGTGTTGTCTTGCTGAGATGGTACCCAGGGTTCCCCCATCCTGTGATGAAAACATTTTTTGTGCTCTGATGATAGAGTGATTTAGTTCAACAATTTACCTGATGTTCTAACAGCCATTCCATCATCTGATGTTTCTTCCCTGGGCCAGGAGAAGGTGGAAATGTTAGACCAACCCTTGGTGGAAAAAACTGACCCTTGATGACAGTCTGGCTGCTGATCTAATATATTATCTTCTACTCAGAGGTGGGTTTACCAAGAAGGTAAAGAACCCCTTGCTTTCCACGGCTGTTGATGAGCTCTTACGGCCGGAGTTAAGCGGAAAGGAAACGTGTCCGACCACCTTCCTGTACCTTTGGGAGGAGCCTCTCCACTGTGTCTCATAGGCCTTCCCGTCAAAGGGAGGGTCAGCACCTGAAATAAAAGAGAGCTCTGTGTGCCCAGTTGTACTGGGCCATTACCTAACACAGTGCACAAAAATGCAATCATAATGGACAAAAGACTTAAATATAAGACCTAAAACTGTAAAATCTTAGAAGAAAACACAGGACAAAAGCTTCACGACATTCGATCTGGCTATGATTTCTTGGATGTGACACCAAAGACACAGGCAACAAAAGAAGAAAATAAACAAATTGAACTTCATGAAATTTAAACATTTTGCACATGGAAAGACAGTATCAAAAGAGTTAAAAGGCAGCCCACTGAAAGGGAGGAAGTGTTTGCGAATCATATGTCTGATAAGGGATTAATATCCAGAATATATAGAAAACTCCTAAAACTCAACAACAAAAACACAAACAACCTGATTGAAAAATGGGCAAAAGGCTTGAACAGATATTTCTCCAAAGAAGATATACCGTAGGCACATGGAAATTGCTCAACATCACTAATCATTAGGGAAATAGAAATCAAAACTACGGTGAGATTTCCCCTCACACCCATTAGGATGGCTTCCATTAAAAAAAGAGAAAATAGCAAAGAACATAACGAGGTTGTGGAGTAATTGGAAACTTTGTGCATTTTTTGATGAGGATGTAAAATGATATAGCTGCTGTGGAAAACAATATGGCCGTTCTTCAAAAAATTAAAACTAGAATCGCCATATGATCCAGCGATTCCACTTCTGGGTATGTACCCAAAAGAATTGAAAGCAGGGTCTCAAAGAGATACCTGTACATCTATGTTCATAGCAGCATTATTCACAATAGGTAAAATGTGGCAGCAACCCAAGTGTCCACTGATGTATGAATGAATAAGAATAATGTATTATGTAGACACAATGGAATATTTTTCAGCCCTAAAAAGAAGAAGATTCTAAAAAAAAAAAGAAGAAGAAAATTCTGACATGCTACAACAGGGATGAACCTTGAAGATATTCTGCTTAGTGAAATAAGCAAGTCACAAAAAAACAAATACTGTGTGATTCCACTTATATGAGACACTTAGAGTAGACAAAATCATAAGATAGATTTTATGAAAATAGAAAGGTTGTTGCCAGGGGTTAAGGGGAGGGGGAAATGGGAGTTAATGTTTAATGGGTACAGAGTTACAATTTTACAGTGATAAGATCTATGGAGAAGGATGGGGGTAATGATTGCACTGCAGTGTGAATGTGTTTAATATCACTGAACTGTATACTTAAAAATAGCTAAGATGGTAAATTCTGTTATGCATATTTTATCACACACAGAAAAATGTTAAGGGTGTCCACAGTTCCTGGCTCATCCCTGGTGCTGCATTCCTGGCAGCGAGCCTCTTTCCTGACCCCTCCTACAGGGCTCTGAGTGAACCAGTATACAGCAGGACTGGCTCCAGAGAGAGGTGACACTAAGATGATGATGAAGTGGGTGTCCACGGCTGAGCTGGGTTGGTAGGGTAGGGAAGGGTGGAGACAGCTCAAGAGTGCCTACAGCAGGGAACTGAAAATGTGAGCCTGGGACCTTACCTAAAGCTGGAATATCCCTGTTCGTGTTGTGGGTTCCCCAATAGGTCTCCCTGGTCTTCAGAGCCTGAGAAAGGGAAGGAGATTGTGTGACTGGTACTTTGCCGGAACTCCCAAAACTTTTGGCAGCCGGGACTTCCATGGTGGTCCAGTGGTTAAGACTCCACGCTGCCAATTCAGGGGGCCCAGTTTCGATCCCTGGTCAGGGAACTAGATCCCGCATGCCGCAACTAAGAGCCTGCATGGAGCAACAGAGATCCCATGGGCCGCAACTAAGACCCAGCGCAGCCAAATAAATAAATAATATTTTAAAAAAAGAACTTTTGGCAGGGACTGGAATTAACTCTTGGTGGAATGGAAGAGAAAGATGGTACAAGTCAGTGAACAGAGAGGTGATGGGAAAACAAAAGTGACTCTCTCCCTGAAGAGGTGAGGAGGCCGGCTCTGGGCTGAAAACCTCTGTGATCTCTCTGGCCGGCCTCACAGCCTCACGTGGAGAGCTGCCCTCCCCACCCCAGACTGATGACAGCAAGGCACTGCAGTCTCTCTCTTCAAATATTCATACTCCCAGCCCCAGAGCCCTCCTTCCTAGGTCTTATTTTCTCAGGCCCTGGGCCAAGGTTCTCTTCTGGTGCTTCTGCTGAGGCCTCCTTAAATGAAGAGGACGGAGAAACCTGGAAGACCCTTGTCCCCCCTCTGACTCAGACCCAGGTCTCTCCCCTCCAAGTCCTTCCCCTGCCTCCACCTCAGGGTCCATAAAGCTGCTGGAGCCTTTCACTCCGGTCTCTGAACAGTGAGGCCACCCTTCACATGCCATTCCATTGGGGAAAATGGAATAGGGGAGTTGGCATAGCCTCTGGGTTCAGACTCTGGCTGTGCTCTCACAGTAAATGATCAAAGGCTTAACTCTATCATTTTAGGCTTGTCGCTTTAATCAGCTGGAACGTCTCCCAGCTCAGCTGAGCTCCTTACAAGGAGCTGTGGGGTGTGGTCTGAGATCTGGAGAGACTTGGAACAGGCCAACCATGTCATGATCTGACCCAGGTTGCCTCAGCTTGGAGACACCAACAGGAAGCAACACACAACTGGTGTGAGTCACTTGTGCCCCTAATAGCTGAGGGCCTTGGCTTCTAGCCATTGCTCTCTCCCCTAAGACTAAGAGGAGCTGCGCACCCCAAGCCAACGTCAGAGGGCGCCATCGGCCAGGCTGCGGCTTGACCTGTCACAGCTGCTCCACTGGGCCCATCCGGAGCTTCCAGGGTGTCCAGAGAGATTTCCCCCTGAATTATCCCCAACTTCACTCTCTCTGCTGATGCTCATCCACACCCACCCGCAGCAGTGCTTCACTTCCTACCTGCGTTACGTGTCATACTGTCTTCCAGAGCTGCGAAGTAAATAACCATTTTACTGAAATAAAAATCGAGCCACCGGTGCTTTGTGACCGCCTGGAGGGGTGGGATAGGGAGGGTGGGAGGGAGGGAGATGCAAGAGGGAAGAGATATGGGGACATATGTATATGTATAACTGATTCACTTTGTTATAAAGCAGAAACTAACACACCATTGTAAAGCAATTATACCCCAATAAAGATGTTAAAAAAAAAAAATCGAGCCACAGTCAGAGGTGCCCATCCCTCCCCTCACCACTCCTTTCTGACTGTGACCTGGGTAGGTTGGCAGCCTCACTTAACCTCAGTTTCCTCACCAGTCGCTCAGGGAGAGAAGCAGGACACTCTCACTAAGCAGTGAGGAAAAAGTGATCACATTTGCAAAGCGCTTGGTACCCAGAAGATGCTCAACAAATATCAGTTCTCTTCATTGATTGGGGAAGGCTTCAGTTACTTTTAAAATCTCCATGAACTCCCAGAGAGAAGCCCTCTACTCCTCTTCTGACTAGAGAACCCCAAAGCTCTCCCTTTACAGAAATTCTGATTTCCTTTCCTTCACTATTTTTCCTTTATTCACCTTGGTGCTTTTTCTTCTTGGTGGACTTGAAATACATTATTGTAAATATCATATTTTAAAATACTAAATATGCACATGGTAACACAATGCACTGTTTCTTTGTGCTAATAGTAGCTTATATTTTATTTTTGTAATTAAAAAGTTTTATTGAAGTATAGTTGATTTACAATTTAGTTTCAGGTGAATCACTGAGTAAGTGATTCAGTTATGTGTTTTATATATATGTATATATACCATATACCAATCTATATACCATATAGATTATATGTATATATACCATATACCAATCTATATACCATATAGATTATTATAAAATATTGAGTAGAGTTCCCTGTACTGTACAGTAGGTCCTTGTTTTATCTATTTTATATATATAGTAGCATGTATATGTAGTAGCTTACATTTTAAATGGAAACTCTGAGCTCAACATAAAAGAGACATAGGAATTTTTTTTTTTATTGGTTGTGCCACATGGCTTGTGGGATCTCAGTTAATGACCAGGGTTTGGACACGGGCCACGGCAGTGAAAGCACGGGATCCTAACCACTAGGCCACCAGGGAACTCAGGAAATTTTTTTTTTAAATTGAAGTAGAGTTGATTTATAATATTGTGTTAGTTTCAGATGTACAGCAAAGTAATTCAGTTAAATATATATATATTTATATAACATACAATAACAATGGAAAATCTGAAAAGCTATATATACATTATAGATATATATAATGTATATAGTTAATATATAATGCATATATATTTATATTTAGTTTTTTATATATATGGTTTTTCAGATTACTTTCCATTATAGGTTATTACAAGATATTGAATATAGTTCCTGTGCTACAGAGTAAATTCCTGTTGCTTATTTATTTTATATATAGTAGTTTATATCTGTTAATCCCATACTTCTAATTTACCCTTCCCCTGGAAATGTTTTTTCTGGTCACCTTTTCTCTCATCCCTAAGCTAGATAGGAAACAAATTTTAATATCTTTTAAAAATTAGCAAGTAGGGCTTCCCTGGTGGCGCAGTGGTTGGGAGTCCACCTGCCGATGCAGGGGACGCGGGTTCGTGCCCCAGTCCGGGAAGATCCCACATGCCCGTGAGCCATGGCCGCTGAGCCTGCGCGTCCGGAGCCTGTGCTCCACAACGGGAGAGGCCACAACAGTGAGAGGCCCACGTACAGCCAAAAAAAAAAAAATTAGCAAGTAAAAAACACTTAAAATTTCTTTAGTTGTTAAACACAATTGGTTGTATTTTACATTCTCCATTACCTTACTACACTGTCCATCTTTGCCAGAACTCTTTTCACTGTTTCCTTAGCAATCCCTGTTTGCATATGTATAATAGTTTCTAAAAATAGGGGTACCTGCAAAACAGTCTTTCCTTCCATTGCGGTTTTCAAACATATGTATTTCCCACCATAAATAGAGAAACTTAATATAGGTTATAGAAATGCAATTTTCCCTTTAAAAAAGGAAGGAGAGTATGTATATTTTTAACAAATGGGATTCCACTGTGCATACATTGCTGCCTCTTCCGTGTGTCACTTAATGATGTATCTGGGAGATACACAATGCAAAGTATTCCACAGCATGATTATACCAAAATTTATTTAAGCAGCTCTCACTTGTGTAGATTCAGGGTGTTTCCAGCTATTGCTTTTGCAAAAAAAATCCTGCAATAACCATCTATACATACATCTTTCCAAACTTGTGTGAGTATATTTGCAGAATAAATTCCTGGAGATAGAATTACTGGGAAAATGAGTGTATTTTTAATTTTAACAATTTCAAAAAATTTTCAAAATTGACCAAATATTATAAAATGTGAATCCTTAGTTTGGCAGAGTATGGAGGAGCTTTAGTCAGCAGGAGTAAAAACTGGTCCTGGAGGATATTTTTGCAAGGCATGTGAAAAACCTTAAAAATGTCCAACCCTAACCTACAGACTATAAGTTAATAAACTTCTGTTATTTTGAGCCACTACACTTGTGGTAATTTGTTACAACAGCAATAGAAAACTAGGCAGACATTATCAAAGGTGCTCAGACAACAGAAATGGACAAAAGCCAATCTAACTTTCAAAAGGTAGATTTTGCAAAACTTGTACCTAAGAACAATCCTGGACAAGATTCTACAAATAGCTTTTAAGGGCCTATTTGGAGAACTCTGACAGGAAAACCGTGCTCATCAGGATGGTAAGGTAAGTCGCTTACTACATTTTCCAAGCAGTAGTACCCA